CTGGGTGGGGGGGGAAGAGGTGTGTGTGGTGGGGGGGCGGTGCCGGGCTCCACCAAACACGGAGGAGGGATCAGGGGTTCGGACAGAGAAACAACCATGGAAAAGGACCATGCAGTTGGGGCAAGTTTTTATGGCTGCAAATCCACTTCTAGAACACGGCATTTTGAGGGTTAAACGTGCCAGCTGTGCGTGCGGGGCCTGGCACGTCAGAGGCGCGGAGTGAGATGGCGAGCGGGACAAACCTCAGGCGGACAGCCGGTGGGTGCATCCGGTTCTTCACCCGAGCTTTCCAGCCGGAGCGTGGTTCTTCCCGAGGAGAAGGCATGTTCAACTTCGCTCTCCAGAAAACACGGAGGCCGGCCGCGGGCGTGTCACTCACATGCCGTGAGGCTCCGGCGCAGGCAGCATTCTCCACCTGCCCGCCACGCTCCCCGGGGCTGCCAGACCCAGCCAGAGCGTCCCTCGTCTGCTCTCCGCGGCGCCAGGGCTTCCGGTGGCATCTGAGCAGCTTCACTGTGCAGTACGTGCCCCGCCTGGCTGGCAGGGTGGCGGTGTTCTTGGCGTGTTCTCCGTGAGATTCAGCGAAGACCTAGGGGAGTCTCCTCCATACACAACAGAGGTCTGTCTTAAAGGCTTCAGACTATTTCTCTTGAGCATGGGCGTCATCACTGGGAGGTGGCAGAGTCCATGCTGCCACCCTCATGGCTGTGACCCCGAGCTTCAGGGCTGGCCTGGGCTGGGATTCCATGCTCCCGGGTAGAGCTGCCAGGAGGACTCCGCAGCAGCGGACGTGGCCGGCTATGCACCCCCGCTTTCTCCAGCAAGCGAGCTGCTGCCACCCCCCACACCCCCAGGTGAACTGATGGGTAAATGCCCCTCCCATCTCCATGACCACCAGCATGGATGGAGTCTGCCCGGCAGGTAGGAGCCAGCAGACTGCTGTGGTCACACACAGACTTTTGCAGTGAGCTCGGGGCCACCGGCTCACTGAGCGCCTGGCAGCTGTCTTTGGGGCTCTGTCGAAACGAGGAGGTCGGAGCTAGGCGGCCTGGTGCTGTGGGCACGCTGGTGCCGCTCCCTTTCATGGGCTTGCTTCTTGCCGCTCAGAGGGAGGCGGGCGGGAGGAGGAGGGCAGTCCGCAGAAAGAACAAGTCTAGAGATTTTCTCAGGTTGCTGGTGCCTGGAGGGAAAACCTTAAACGTCTGGTAAATAGTCTGATTTTTATCATGTGTGTCTGAGAGGTCTGTATAGATCTGCGGCCATGTGACAGTAAGCGTCGGTGGCCAGGGAAAGAATACGTCAGTTTATTTGCATTCCGATGAGTCTGGCGAGGAAGTGTCCAGTGGTACTTAGTACTTGGAAGACCGACGAAGGCTTCTTTGCCGGTGGGGTCCTTTTTGAATTTCACATATGTAATGCCATCTTTCCCGGCCAATGCTAGATGCAAAATTGGTGTGACTTTGCAGCTTCTAAAAGCCTTCGCATTTATTAACTCCGATACTCCCCGAACACATCCACGCCCCTGCGACGTTCAGACACCTGCACACCCCCATCCACGGCACACACAACCAGCTGGGGCTTTCTCCCTCAGGATCCCCCAAATAAGCTGTCTCTGGAACCTTGACAAATGTGAAGCAGAAACCAGTTTTGCAGCTGCGGCTTTGTGCCTGCCGGGTGGGGACCTGACACCGGGGAGGAAAGGAAAGGCCCTGCAGGGCTCCAGCCACGGGGTGGGGTGACGTGTCTCCTCACACTCGCTGGGACAGGGTCCCAGGTTCCGCTGTCCCTAGGTTGCTAAAGCTCACTGCCACGTGAATCTAGCTTGTGGAGCTCACCTGAAGGCTCGGGGTAAACGAAAGAAAAAAGGAAAGAGAGAAAGAGGGTGCGGAGTTGGGAGATGGGCGGACGCAGCCCCCCCAACTCGCCACCTGAGCCCAGGTTACTAACTTCGCTGCGTGTTTATTTTCACCTGTACAATGAGAGGGCATCAGAACAGAGCATTAAATTCCCCTGCTCTCCCTCTTTCGAGAATAGGACCTTTGCATTTCCTATGGCAGCGCAGTGTATGGAGTGGCTGGAAGACGGCGGGGCACGCGGCCCGCTCAGCTTGCACCCAGCAGGGGTCCCGAAGCCCCTCGGCGCTCCTCAGAACAGTCGGGAGTCGCTGGAAGGCTTCTCCGAAGCACGCGGCACATCCCGTTTGTGTCCGAGGGTGAATCCTGCGGTTACCTAGCTCTGTGTCGCAGGCTGTCACACACCTCTCACTGGCCTGCCGTCCCCCCTGGTGGCCAGCCAAGGCCTGCATGGGGGCTCCTGGAGGACAGCGACCGTTCCAGCCCCAAATCCCCCACATCCCGCGCAGGGCCGCACGTCAGTGGTGCTGGGCAGAGCTTGCTGAGTGGGTGAGGGAGGGAGGGGGAGGAGTCATTCTGACTGAACGAGGACACGAAGGACCCAGTGCAGGGAGGGTGGGGGCTTTGACCTGTTGGTCGCTCTGTCGCCGGCGCCCACAACACTGCCTGGCAAAGGCGGATTTTGGCTCACCGTAAAAAACCCTTTAAACTCGTTAAAGTTCTTGACCGGAAACTAGTTTGCTGTGAGAAGGCCTAAGCAACACAGGTGTGCCACATAACACGGCCCGCCCTGACCGAAGCAGCACGTCCAGAGCTCAGGGTGACGCTGGCTTTGCGTTGGTGCCTGTCAAGAGGGCAGCACCGCCTAGGAGGGCCAGCGGTTGCTCAGACTGGTGCTTCGTGGGGATCGGGACCCAAGTGTGAGCGCCACAGTGAGACACGTGGTTGTCAGTGTTGCTGGCTGCAGAGCGCATTTGGTAGTGTGTCCAGGTCAGTCTTTTAGAGAAGCAGCCATGCTAACTGAAGGCCTGACGTGTAAGCCACAAACCACTGGTTTCAGCGTCTGGTGTTCACTGATCGGGGAGAAATGCCCATTAGAAGCCAGATGATAAAACGAAGGTGCTTGGTGAGCGTGGACTTAAAGCCAGGGGAGTTAGTGGAATGAGCCAAAGGCCAGTGTCACAGGGCAGTGACGTGCCGACGTACCTGTCTCTAACGAGCTTAGAGAACTACCCGCTGCCTGGACTCCACGCTATGTGCACGCATCGTTCAATGCCCTCCGTGGAGTGTATTTTGTGACCACGCTTCGTGTGTGATTTCTCGGGCGCTTAGTTAAGCCAACGCGAGCCTCTCTGACAGCCTCTTCCCCTGGGCTGCCTGTGAGGACTGCACATCGCAAAAGCTGAGATGACCAGCCCTCCGCCGCCATCCCTACCTCACGTGTCCTCCTCAGCGTGGGCGCCGTCCACCCTTCCTTCCTGCCGTTCCTCTCGTTCCAATGGCTGATGTGCGGTGGCCGCCACACTGCAGCCTCGGTGGTGACACCGGGGTTTTGAGAAAGAAGTTTCATGCAGGATGCTGAACATGCACGTTTCACGGTGACTTCAGGAACACAGCTGAGAAAATGAACCGGAAAAGATCAGCAGACCAGTAGGGACCGGCAGGGACAAAGGGCTTTGGAAAATCGGAGAAGCCCGGTGGCTGACAGACAGTTGGGAGGAGGCCAGGCAAGAGAACAAGGGACGGGGCCTGTCTACAGAGTTAAGCCGAAGAAAACGGGAAGTCGCCTGTCAGTGGGACGCAGGACGGGGTG